ATGCTTTGCGCACACACGAAGCTATCTTCAGACTCTGCCTTTTGCTCCTTTATTTGCTCCTTTCTTCTGTGTTGCAGACATTCTCATGCTTGGTGGGCGGTGTGCTGCCGTTCGCTGGAGTGACTTGGATAGAATGAGATTGCTTGAAGCAGAACAAGCTGACTTAAAAGAATCAGCTTTCGAGGTGTTTACAGAGCTTTTCTTCATTATGTCTTCCATTTGGCAGCACCAGTCCTGACCTTGGGAGTGAATCCAGCACAATATGCACAAGAGCTGTGGCTTTTCTCTTGCTTTGACTTCGGTCAAGCTTCAGAGGTTCTACTACTTGTTTGGTTTCCTTATGCTGGTCCTCGTCATCCTGGTTGTGACATGTGCTGAAATATCAATTACGCTGGCATACTTCCAGCTCACGAATGAGGCACAGCATTGATATGATTAGGATCAGTGCACACAGACTGTTGTAGTCAGCAATCCTCCTGCCCCAACACTCTTTTGCTCAAACCATGTGTTGCAGTGATTGCAGAAACTGCCCTGGTTATTATGATTCCCTGTTTTAAGCTTGATTTTACGGCAACACCACGATTTTGGCCATGACTTGGCCAGGACTACAACTGGTGGTGGAGATCGTTCTTTACAAGTGCATCCTCTGCGCTGTACGTCTTTGGATATTCTTGTTCGCTCCTGTGAGATTTATATAGCCCTTGCAGCATGACAATAGCTTCGGAGCACTTGTCTGAGGCTTGTACTACTTCACCCGGATGCAGTTGGGAGCCAAGTCCTGGAGTACTGGTGCCCAAAGACAGCCTTTCTTAAGTCCACAGCTCGCAACTGTTAACGTTTATATTATATTTGTTGTACTAGTGCATTCACGCCTCTAGCTCTAGGCACTCCAGTCTCCTCAAAGGCAAATCTATTTCTTTGAGATGCAAAGACCTCTAGAGCTGTTTGAAGCCACCCGCGTCTGAGAATTGCTGGACAGCTCAATGACTGCGACCAAGATGCCATACAAAAATGCACAGACACGAGCACCAATACCCAGACATGGACCTTTGCCAAGTCTCGGGCCATCATCAATATCGCATGCTGACAAGCTGTGTGTCTATTTGGGTACTTGTTGAAGTTGAAGTCCTTCAGATTGGCCTTTTGCTAACTTTTCGTCTTTACTTTACTGTATACAATATGATGATTGAGTAAAGTGCTAGCTGACATCCGGAGTCAGTGTGTTTTCCCCAGATAGCGAGAGCTATTGGGGTTTTTACTTCAAGTATAGGGAGAGCTGCATGTGTGCGCCTTCGGGCCTGGGTGCTGATATCGCTGCAGGGCGCCGCTGCTGTGTGCGCTTGGGCGCTTGGGTGCTGCGAGCGAAGAAGCTGCGACAGCTTGACTGCAATGATTCCAATGCTCTGGGGTCTATGCTGGCGTTATTTTTTACTTGTTTAATGTGATCTGCGACTGGCGACTGCGACCTGTGACGTGTGACGGCACCAAAATGCCTGTTCAACTTTTTTTCCCCGGATAGTGATAGCCATTGATTTCTTTTTCATATGGGATTCTTACTTCATTCATTTATATACTGCGCGCTTTCGAGACGCCGCCGGTGGGTGCCAGTGCTGTCCGGTGCTGTGAGCTGGCTGCACGCTTGGAAAGCAGGGTGTCGGTGCATGGGCGCTGGTACTGGTGCCGTTGCTGTGAGCAGGCTGTGTGCACTTTGACAATAGGGTGTCGGTGCTGGGTATTGGTGCTGGTGGTTGTGTTTCGAGTAATCTGGCATGCCTTGTTCTTGATATGTTTCAACTCTTGCGCATGGTGCGCGTGAAGCCCGTTGTTCGCGCGCATATTTTTGTACGCGTACATGACGTATACGTATATCTATACGCGTGACATCATATTCCACTGTTTGCGCGCATATTTTAGACGCAGATACTTGTACATACAACATCAAGTTTTTTTCGACCGGGCAATGCTGGAACACCATCTTTAGTTTGAAACATGAGTCGGATCAAAATGCTGCTTGAGAACGCGGGCCCTCCAGAGTAGTGCCGCCTATACATCCCGTGGATTCTCTCATGTTTGGGTTGCAGACTAGACATGATGGCATTGCTGTCCAACAGGTTGTAAATTCATTGCAAGGTCTGCAGCACTGGGTTGGATACGATCTTGTTCGCAAGTCCTAGCTTGCATTTTGGTGCGATCAACTCTCCTCATGAGGCATGGAAGGTGGGTGACACCTAGTTTGTAAGGCCAAGCGAGTTTTCTTTTAAAACTGCAAAGCGAACCACAGTGTTACTGTTAGAGTGTTGAGCAAGATCAGACGCTTTCTCGATTCTGCTCGGAAGTCTCTATCACGTAATATACACATATATAATATATGTATAGGTTTAATCGTTTTATGGAACACTTCCTACTTATGTACTGTCAATTTCAATGGCCAATGGCCCAATTCAAATGTGTCTGAAGTCCACAGGTGGACCTGCAAGTGCCAAATCTTGGGCCTTGCGGGCACACTTGTGGTGTGTGGTGGCTCACGTCTCCTGGTTTTGGAGCGGTGCCACGCCCTGTGGACGCCCGCTGCTTGGGATGGCTCGGACGGTGGCAGTGAACTTGGGTTGGCTATTGCCCGGTGCAATGGGTTGCTGCAACAAGCTGGTCTCCAACCTCCTTTGGGGGACCAGCCGGACCGCAGTTTGAGCCAACCGGCCATCTCACATCGACTCCGGGAAGTGCACGTTCTGGCTTGGAAGGCAGCTGCAGGCACCGATGATGTTTGTCGCCTCCACGCATGTTCTGCTCAGTCTGCTGAAACGGTTTTGAACCTTGTCCCTTCGCGCGTACTTGACACCAATCTCTCCAAGGATGATTTCCTGACTTGTTTGGGTGGTCGCCTTGGCGTCGATATGTGCCTTGGGGGCGGGGCCTGCCGTTTTTGCGGTTTGCCTATGGATGTAAAGGGTCGCCACAATCTTGTATGGCCGGCGGTGATGCTGTTGCTCTCCACAATGGCTTGCGGGACCTCTTGCACGACTACTGTGCACGGGCCCAGCTGCGGCCCCAGGCAGAAGCCCCTGGACTTTTGGATGGGCGACGGCGGCCTGCTGACATCTTCTTGCGAGGTGGGGTTGGCCTTCTTCCAGCCTTGCCTGATGGCTCCCGGCCCGTTGGGCTTGGTGCTCTCGCCTTGGATGTGGCTATCATCAACGCCTTGGGCCCCAGTCACTGGGATGCCACCTTACGTGGGGCGCCAGATGCTGTCACTGCCTACGCGCAGCGGAAGCGGGATCACTTGGATACCGCGGCCTCCTGCCAACAAGTTGGCATTCATTACCAGCCCCTTGTGTGGGACATCTATGGTGGGTGCACGGCAGCAACGCGGGCTTTCCTTCACCGCTTGGCTGGCTTGGTTGCCACAGTCGAGGGCATTGATCTGACCCTTGTGAAGGCTCGCCTCCTGGACCAGCTTGCTGTCGTGCTGGCGCGAGGAGCTGGACGGGCATTGCGCCGTCGGCGTCGTGGTGCCGCGGCGCCACCGCATGCCTCCGGCCTTGTTGCAGGCTTGCTCCTGGAACCGTGAGTTGCCGTTGGTGGCTGTTCGCTTCTTGCCTTTCCTCTTCCTAGACCCCGACCTTTTATTGCATTTTTCTCTTGCAACACGACGGTCGTCGGTACAGTGGGCCTTGGCTTCTGTATTCTGACTCTGCGGGGACACCAATGGCGGGGGCGACATGGTCTATGCCTCAGCCCTGGGGGCCAGTGCACCACTACGAAGATGTCTTGGTGGCGTGCCCAGCTCCTTATCCTGCTCTGACCCGCTGTCATGGCAGCCCTTTTCGCGTTGCCCCGTTTCACTTTGTTTCACTGTGGCAGGTCTTTTTCCCTTCCTAGAAGGTTTTTCCTGCCCCCCTGGACTTCCTGCTCCAGGTTTTCAATTGAACTTGTACAGATCCTATTACACCTCTGGCTCATCGTCTCATCGTCTCATCGTTTGGTCGTCTTCGAAGCGGTTCTCATAGTCGTTGATCGCTTCCCAACGACCAGCTGTGTGGTGTCATATTGGTATGTGGCTGTTGGTGTACTAAAAGGCTTGGTTGACAATCTGTATTTGAGGATTGGCCACTACGTGGGTGCTCTTCTGTACTTTGGATACATGCTGCCTCACTCAGTTAGCAAAAAACGGCAATTTTTTCTTCTGAACGCAAAAACGATCAAGTGAAGTACTATCAGGTTTGTGATATCTTACACGTTTGCACTGATAACTGGTGCAATCGGGCCACTTGGCATGCAAAATCCCCGAAGTCACTGTGAGCGCATGCCTGAATGGATGTTGCGGCAGAGGTTTAGTGCAACTTTCTTCTTCGTCCGCACAATCTACGGTCAGAAGCCTATTGGCTTTGACAAAAGCTCAACTTGTCACACGCTTTGCATTTGGGTGGCACTCACGAGGTTCAATCAAAATTGATTAGGGAGACTTGGAGTGCCTGAGACCTGGTTAGCTGAGTCTAGGATAAGTTTAAAGAACTGGATATTTGTGGTGAAGGCTTTGTCGGCTTTGCCTTTGAGGTTGTTGCGAGGTTCCTGTGAATGAACCGCTTGGAGCCTTTAGTGAGCTAATGACCCAGCACGCGTGAAGCTTGCTGTCTCAAAAATAGCGATTCTTCGGCTGTACTGTATATCTCCAGTTGCAAAGTATGCATCCAGGAGTTGATGTTGTGGTCGAAATGCATGGGCTAGCCTTTGAGATTCTTGTCGGACAATGTATTGATGTATATATATATATATCTTTCCTTCAACAATGAGCCTCTCTTTGCAAAGACCATTTGGCTGTGGAAAGTGTCCCATGAACCCTTCGTTCACAAGAAAACCCACCCAATCTTGGAGAAGAACTCACCATGATTCGGAACATTTTTGGCAATGACTCATTGCCAATGAGCATCATTGTCAGAAGTCGCAGGATCCCCAGAGCATGGGAAACTTTTCCTTGATTCTTCAGTGAATTTGAGGCTTGAGGAAGTTACCTGCACTCGTACATAACTCATTGAACCTGACCTTGCTCACACTTTTCCATTTCATGGCCTGCTCGGATGACGCTACGATCACTTCCTGTCCAGACCTCAAGCTACATAAGCCTTTAGTCTTGGGTTGGCTGCGTGGTCAGGCGGCATCGGCAGGGGAAAATCACGCGTTTGTCGTGCAGGCGCCACTGTATTTGGACAAGTGAATGCCCCTTTCTGTCAGTAACAAGTGCCTTACTAGTAGTAATACTTGCCTTACTAGTAGTAACAAGAAGCTAGTAGAAACTAGTGCCTTACTAGTAGGGAAATGACCTGTCAGTCTGAGGCGGCTGTTGGAAAAGCTCATGCACTCCTACTGACAGACGAGGGTGTGATTTACAGCTGGACCTTCCAACATGTTTTTTTTGAGAACATTGCATGCGTCAAGCTTCTCTGTTTTTGAGGTTTGCCAATCAAAATCTCAGAAACAGAGATGTTCATTATATAGTTTCCTCAAAATATGAGCACCTCCTTGAATGCCAGGGGCCCCAATAATGACTTTGGCCAGCTTGGGCGTGTGTGCAGCAACCAGGAAACTTTGACACTTTGTAGATGCTCGAGCTGGAAAACAACTTCAAACCTTTTTTTGGAGGACAAGATGCTGATGCCGACACCAATAAGTGCCAGCATCAAGCACGCAGCTTACGTTAGTGATGCATGTATCCTTTGTTTCTTGCAACTTATTCAGCGAATTTGTTGCTGCTTGCTCAGGCAGGAAATTATCGTTCAGGTTGCTTGTGGTTCGCTTCTTTGCAGCAAGTCGCCCCATACCATGGCAAGGGCTGTAGAGACTTTCTCGGTCATCATGCCTATATCGTCCTGTGAATCACGGTTTTGGGAAATGGCTATAAAAAGGTTCGGTCAGAGAGTCATGGCACTTTTTGTTCACACGCAGGCCAGTCTTGCACATCTGAGGAACCATTGTCTTGCTTTGACCCAAAAAGGTGCTCTTTTTGCATGGGGCCAGAATAGAGCCCGCATCTTAGTTTTGTCATGAGTGACCTGCGATGAAAGTTTGCTGTGGTTTTCATGAGGCTGGTCAGCTTGGCGTGGATGGATTTAATGCTCACGCTCCGGGGAGCGAACTCGTGCACTGCTCAATAAGTAAATCCCCCTGAACTTGAAGCAGCATTGCCATAGGCTTTGTGTGGATGAACTTAAGACGCTCATGAGGTTGTGAACCTTCCAACCCCTGTCAAGTTTTTCAATGGGCAGGTGCTGGAAACATTCTTGCAAAAACCGCACTGCGATTGAAGCACCAAGAAATGCTATCATGCTTTTTCTTTGTGACCAGTTCTTTTGTCACCCGTGCAAATTTCTTACCCTTTGGAACTTCGATTCATATTTGTTCCAGGAAGGGGCTATGTGCGCAAGGAGTTGCAGCTGTGGCCCTGAGAGCTCTGCATGTGTCACCGTCAGGGGCGAGGCGTTGTGACCCAGTTGTTTCGCTCAAGTGCAAGACGAGCAAAGACTGTGCTTGGAAGGTGTATGCCTGGGGTGCAATCAGCACCCTGGAAAGAAAGGACCAGCAGTCCAGACAACATTCTACTACAGTATTTTTGCTGGAACGACTTGACACGTTTGTTTCTTTCCAGTTTGTTTGTATGAGGCTACTATCTTATGGGCGCAGAAAAACAATATGGACCTGGGGAGAATTGCACCGTAAGCGACTTGGTGCAGTGTACAGTGTCGCATCCGCATGCATTGGTATATGCCTTGCAGCTGCTTCCTGTTTTTTCTCCTTGCCACTGTTAAATCTCTCTTACGTGGTAATGATTGCCCTGTTAAACAACGTCCCTCTTACGTGCTCTGCTACCAATGTAAACTGTGCGAACGTCGTGTAATGATTGCCCTTCTGCACACTCCGGACTCACCATCACTAACATGCTCTCCCACAGAGTGAATGCAGCCCAACTCGATGAATTGGAAAAAGGCTGACAGTCAACTATGTCAACCACAAAGTCCCTGATTGGTTCCTTGCTATTGTTCTTTTTTGTGCGTTGTGTGGCAGTAAGTTCTGGCCTAGTGGCCTGATTCGGTCTTTGCCAGCTCAGCTCCGACCGCTCAGGGTGACAAGGCCATAGCAACCTGTGAGTCCTTGTGATCGTGCTTTAAATGCATGCTCTCTGGATAGTAGCTTCAAACAGGTCAGGTGGCAACACAATCGTATTGTCATCGGGGCATCTCAGACGCTGTTTTGGCTTTCAGGTTCCTGTTTGTATCAAGAACTTGCCCAAACAGCTGTACGCGGACGAGTCGGGGCCAGACCAGGCAAAGTGTTGGTTCGGTCCGGATTTGCAATCCTGACTAAACATTTTATGATTCCGCTCTGTGCAGGTGTCTGTTTACAAGGAGAATGTTTTTAGTTTGCAGACAGACTAGGTGACTAGGTGACTTTCCCGAAGTCTGTGGCATGGCCATCAGGACATTGTTGCCTGCAATGTGGCGTTGCCACCTCAGTATTGGATCGCACAGTGCTGCAGCCGGACACCTGAGCTCTAGCGCAAGGAAACTGAATATCGAAGATGAGATGGCCAGCCTTGTGAGATCCTTGAAAAGCCGGTCATCTCAAGCGGAGGCCTTAGTTTCCATTCTGATCTTGTAATTTGGACCTCATCCCCTGAGTTGCTCTCTGGTTGTTTCTAATACTGAAATCGCTAAGTTGCTCTCCGTGCTGCGTATGAAGAGGCGTGATGCAATCCGCCGAGACATGCCCAGACGTTTGCCATTCCAAGCTCACCACAGAAGCACTTGAAGGAAACACAAAGCCCCGAGAATCGAGAAACTTTGCAAGCACTTCATCTAGGCATGAAAGCCTTCATTCTTCGACTCTGTTTGCATCGTGCCTTGCATGTTTTTCCGAGTTTTCCTTTCACCAGAAATTGAGGGTGAGCCTTTCCTTCAAACCTCCGAAAGCTTGTGCCGCGAGGGCCGAAGCGAGCGACAGGCCAACAGCAGGTGGCTGGACATGATAATGCATTTCAATTTGACCATGATAGACATGTAGCATTTGCGACATGTAGCATGCACGAAATGTGAGATCCAACCTCTGATAGAATTCATTTGGAGCAGAACTTATAGCTAGTGGCTGAGTTCATGGACATTTGCAACCTGCTAATGGTGGTTAGATTTTATTATATAGGTACAGTACAGTTTTGGTCAATGTGGCGGAAGGCCTCACCAGTTTGTACCAAGTCAATGGCTACTTATGTTGTTCTTTGTCCAGTCTTTGAGGCGCATGTATGCACTCATTTGCAGTTGCTGGACTGTGTAGGAGAAGACAACTTTGATGTAGAGGAGCGAAAACGGACAGTGCGCAATGACCAGCCGTGTTTAAAGATGCCTGGCTGTCCTGCATAGAGGAGCTTCGGCTTTTAAATCATGATTTCCAGAATCAAAAGAAGGCCGGGCTTGCAGGCAGTGTTCCCCTTGCTGCACTCCCCAAAACAGCAGAGCAAAACTGTTTTTACGCTTTACCCTTCCAACATGCGACGTAAGTAATTCGCAGGAAATATATAGACCTGTCGAAGTAGAGCTGCTGCTTGAAGGAGTTCTGCGAAGAGGGAGTGGTAACCTTTTGCATCCGCCAATCATGAAGGATTGAACAGGTCATGGCCAAACGTGAAAAGGAGTCAATTGGCAAACTAATGGGCTGGTGCAGTTCGGTTGCGGTGCTTCTAATGGGTGGACACAAGCGGCCTTTAGACTCCCGAAATGGGAGCAGCTGGATCTTGGTAATGACAGCATCGTCAGCATCGAGGAAGCTCCTGTGGAGCATACTTGGTGTAAGTGCACTCCCTGTTCATGCGTGTTCGATATTGGTACGTGAGGCTGCACGGATTGCGTAAGTCGAACATTGCGAGCTTTAAAATCCAATGTATGTATGTGATGTGATGTGATGCAATGCAATGCAATGCAATGCAATGTATGTATGTACGTATGTACGTATGAGCGTGTATGTATGTATGTATTTATGTATGTATGTATGTATGTCTGTAAGTTATGTATGTATGTGATGTAATGTAATGTAATTTAATGCAATGCAATGAAATGAATTGCAATGCAATGCAATGTAAGGTATGTAATGTATGCATGAATGTAAAAACTATATCGTATAAAAAGCATTAATGTATAGAACACCACACACACATATATATATATATATACACATCTATTTACATAAGGGCACTCCTGGCAGTGCAGTTTTTTTGCACGCTTGTGTTCTTTTGAGTCAACATTTGTCAAGAAAATTGCATTGTCAAAAATGGCTGTACAACAATTGCAGCCAGCAGGAAAGCCTGACCAATTGACAAAATATGTCAAAAAACAACAAACTGAAAAACGAAACAAACAAATCAAAAACCAAGAAAACCAAAAACCAATAATTCAGAGAGTCTTCACTGATCCGCCCCAGAGGACAAACCTCTGAAAACATGTTTTTGTTTGTTTGTTTGTTTGTTTGTTTTCTTTGGCGTTTGTCCACAGGGTCCAACATTCGACAGAGTGCTCTCCTGGCAGTGCAGCCTTCTTGACAAATGTTAAGTTTCCTCGCACATGTGTTTTCTTTTGAGTCAACATTTGTCACACTGCCAGGAGGGCACCCTGTTAAGATTTGTCAAGACAACTACACTGCGAGGAGGGCACTCTGTTAACCTTTGTCAAGAAAACTACACTGCCAGGAGTGCACTCTGCAGAAGATTCTGCACTTTGTGGGCACTTCTTGAAGAAAACAAGCTAAAACACACCAAAAAAACATGTTTTCAGAAGTTTGTCCTTTGTGGGAGGGTTCAGTCAAGACTCTCATACATATACATTTTTGTGCTTTCTCAAGGTGTTTTTGATTTTGTCCCATGGGGTCTGTATTTATGTGTTCCATAAAAGGTGCGATTTTTCAAGTGGCAGATAAATACATATTGCATACACTTAATGAAAGCACACATCTCTGGAAAATCTACTTTCCCAGAGATCCAGAGGAAAGCTATATACATGAAAGCTTTCAAACAAAGCTTTTCAATATAGAAGTGATCAACCCCAGAGATCTGGAGGTAAGTATGTGAAAAGCACTTTTATATACGTGTATACAAAGTTTCTTAAATATGAAAATATTTATGCACAGAGATCCTTTCTTGTGAAATGCACAACTTCTATATATAATCTTTAAACAAATCATCATGCCCAAAGATATGGGGGACAGCTTTTGAAATGCACGCTTTTATATTAGCCTTGAATATAGAAGTGATCAATCCCAGAGACCTAGGGAACAGCTTTTGAAATAAATACTTACAATGTAGAATGCATTTTTACATATAGACATGATTATTCTTAGAAATGAACAGGTAAGCTTTAAAATTAACTGCTTAGATACATGCTTTTTACATATGGAAATTATTATTCTCAGAGATTTAAAGGAAAGCTTTTGATCAAACAACTTTCAAACATAGCTTTTTAATGGTAAAGCAAATCCAGAGATGAAGAGGAACACTCTTGAGTTAGCAGCTTTAAGTTATTTTGTTATAGAAGGGATCCTTCCAGAGATGTAGAGGAAAACCTTTGACATAGAAACTTTAGTACAAAGCTTTCTTAATTTTAAGTGATTATTCCAACTATTACTTGAACAAGTCTATTCGTCTACTCAAAAGCAGTGTGTGACCTAGTTCCCAGCACCCAGGGCAAGAAACCACTGTAAGACACAGGATTTTATAGCATTTTGTCTTAAACTCACACCCCCAGCAACACCTGCTTTGTTGAAGTAAATTAGACTTGACCAAGAATCAAATTTTAATTGCACAATAATTAAATTAGAATGCCAATTGTTTCTAAATTCCATTTTAACAAACTGAAATTAATTAGGTTTTAATGGAGTTATATAATTGGATTTGAATCAATTTCTTTAGATCTAAATTAATATTGAATTTGAACGAAAATTGAATTAGCATCCGTGTAGAGTTGAATTAGAATGAACTATCTATTTTAAATCATCCATTTGTCATACCAAATGGGCCAAAAAGCGCACTGCCACAACTACCCACTCTCTATATTTAAATACACATGGAGTATCCCTTGCCAAAAATTCTTTGACGGAACACTATAACTAATGTTAATGTTGGCTCTTGTGGCAATGATATTGTATTGGCTTCTTCGGACTGTCTTGCTTAGTATTGTCTTGTGAAAGTGTTGTGTGTTCACTCTGCTAAGAAGTTGTTTTTTGCAGGTCGTTCAGGGCCACATGGATACCTTGCAGAAGCAGTTGGGCCCTCTGAACCTTGCCAAAGATGTGTCAACATGCCAGGGCAGAGCTTTCCACACTATCGACATTTCAACCTGCCAACCATGTGGCCAAAAATGGTGAGATGCTCCTGTACAGTAATGAAATTGCGGAGGACAGTACAACTCAAGAGGACAAAATCCGTTGTCAGCCCCGAGGTTCAGCAGCTATAAGACCGAACTGTCCAGAGTGAAGAGAGAGCTACCTGCCAAAACAAGTTGCGGGCCGCTGTCCTGATGCAGACATGGCAGAAATGGAAGCTCTTGTGCTAGGCTTACGGTTTGTGATCAACAAGACGCAGCCCTGACTGAGACAGCTCGCAATTTGGAGGTTGGGTGCCAAAACTCCTGCAGTAGAAGTTTAGAGTTCAGAGTTTCAGCATCAATCGGGCTGTGCTTGGAACGATGCCTTCAGTACTAGCTTGCCTTAGGCCAGAAAGGATCATGTTGGAGATAGTGCTGCGCAGGGGTCTTGGCAAACTTGCACGCAGCCGGAGACAACCTGTTCTGGTCATGTAGACGATTTGTCCGTGAATCAAGGAACAAGCGCACTCTTGAAACGAAGCTTCACGACATCAGCCACTTCAAGTCCTCGAATCAACGCAAAAGACTTCAGGCGAGGATTGACCAAGACATACACTCCAACTCGCTCGCTGACATCGGACGTGAAAATTGTATAAAGGAGGATTCAGGCAGGTTTTTCCTTCCATGTTCGCGAGTCAGACGAAGTGTACTATTTCGATGCAGGCCGTGTTGGTAGTTCGCAGGGTATATATAAAGACATACAAATAATTACTACCACACTGAGAAAATATGGCAGATATTCGACACTGCTCGCTCTGTATTTGGCGGGCAGTTGCTGAACGACAGAGACGAGACTGAGCGCCAGCTACTTCATCTCACCCAGGCTGGTGAAGATGGCTAACATGGTTGATGATTTTGGACTAACGCGACAGTTACGAGGGCACTGAGAGACTATGGACTCTATGGACCATGAGAATGGACAACAAGCACAAGCTGTGCTGATGCCCAAGGAGTTGACCGTTGCGCTGAACCACCAACAACAGGACGGCTAGACCATGCTGGACCAGTCTCATCGAGTGTTCGATAAACCTATCAAATTGACAAAATATGGATTTGTTGTGTTGCAGCCTGAAGTTGCACAGACTTTTGTCCTCTAACAGGATGCTTGAGGTTCCTTTCTTTTGAATCTTTTTCCCCAGATAGAGCGAGCTATTGGGGTTCTTACTTCAAGTATAGGGAGAGCTGTATGTGTGCGCTTTCGAGCCTGGGTGCTGGTATGCCGCTGCAGTGTGCGCTTGGGAGGTGGCGGTGCCGCTGCAGGGCGCCGCTGCTGTGTGCGCTTGGGCGCTTGGGTGCTGGTGGTGCCCCTGTGTGCGCTTACGGGCTTGGGTGCTGGTGCCGCTGGTGGCCGCTGCTGTGCGCTTGGGGGCTTGGGCTGCAGGTTGCCGCGGCTGTGTGCACTTGGGAGCTCGGGTGCTGTGCCGCTGGAGGTTGCCGCTGCTATGAAACGCGAGCGAAGAAGCCGCGACAGCTTGACTGCAATGATTCCAATGCTATCTGGGGCCTATGCTGGCGTAGTTGTGTACCATCACCACCATTTTATTACAACACACAAAGCAGATCACACAGCGCCTTCCACTTTGTGTGTTTCGTAGCAATGCTTGTAGTAGGTCCTTGCTGAGGCTGTGAGAAGTGGATTCGAAAGTGACTAGTAAATATATATATATATATTACAAAACTCTTGTGAAGCCGCATACAGGCCTTATCACACCTTGATGTATTTAGTCGAACCGCGAGCCTCACTTCCGAGTTGGAGAGCCGCACGAGAATGATACGATCTCTTCATGGTGATTCAGGCGCTGCCAGCTACAAAAGCGGCAGTCAAACCTAGATGCTATCAAAGTGGAAGATTGCCATGTTTTTGGCACGCTTGAGGCAATAAGAACAGCACCCTGGCCAGGAACTTACTGATATAGCATTGCAGACGCTTCTCAACCTGATTCAGCGTTCATGCCGAGGATGAAAAGGGGCTCAAGGTTGCAGATGACAAGCGAAGAGTTCCTTTCTTATATAAGCTGAAAGATCGCCTGTGCAGACAAAGCACCGCCTATCCATTTGATCATTCTCTACCTCACCAGACACACCTGGTAGTAGATAGCCATAAACCCACACTATGCCATGGTGGAATCTGAGAGCTGTCCACTCGTTTTCTAAGGAGCTTGCCGCCACAGAACCAATGCAGCTAGCAGGTTCTGGGTATCGCACCCAGAACTGTTCGTTCTTTGTTCAGGGCAACTTGGCCGGCTCATGCGTCTATATTTCGCCTCCAAAGACAATTCTGGCAGAAGGAACTCGAACTCTTATTTTTCCTTTTGTGCTGTGTCTTACTAACAGTGTTCTTTGCACTTTTCACTTTTCGAGGCGCTTCGATGGGTTGCACGAAGTTGTGGAGATGTCAAATGGTTCACTCCAGGTCACGAACTGAGTAATGCAAGTGCAGCGAAAATGAAGGCCTGCGCTTTAACTTGCACAATGTCCCTTTTTGGAACTCCCGTGAGAAGAGATTTTCATAATTTGGTCATGCTGACACTTGAGGATGTTTCTAGCTCTTTGAAGGAGGCTCTGGTTTGTTGGGAGAAGTGCAGACAATTCAGAAAAATTGCACTTGTGCAGTGGCTCCTGGCTTGTAAGTCTGTTATCCGTTTGTGCACTTGGGGCTATGGTGAGACTATAAATATTTAAATAGACTGGCAGACGCCCAGTGACGCCCACCCGGGGTAGAAGCTTGACAGGTGGCCGGGCGGCGCGATTTTAGTTGCATGACTGACCAATGGGATATGTGCTAAAGCAAAGTATGCAGACGACACTTTGCAGAGGTCCGCAGAAGTTTCCAGGGGCTCGCAGAACCTGACTTCGTAGAAAGATTTTGCATTCTCAATGAGTTTTGTTTCGTCCTTCGACAAACCATGTTCGATTTTCAGAAGCGCACAAAAGGTTCGGGATTCTTTTACAGCATGGTTCTTGGCCAAGGGCCAAAGCCCAAATCCAGCCCAAAGTACAATCAAAAATCCGGATTACCATCTAATCTATTTCTGCGCACAGACGAGCTGAAATCTGTACAAGCATCCGTGCCCTTTGAAACGGGATTGGGCGCAACAGTGTTGAACGGTGCTTCTGAAGCCCTGTTGTCTTCTCGGGGTGCGCTCCACTGTCCAATTTGCAACACCTACTCAGACCGAGTTACTCGGACCAGAGATGTCGCACGAGTTACTTTGAACCAACCCACATTGGACGAAGACAAGACATCAATAGAATAATGACACTTCGTACCCTTGGCTCAATTCCCAAGTTCAACATTAAACATTTTGAAATGAACTATCTTGGGTGAGCCTGGGAAATGTTGTGGGCATAAATCAACCTGAACACTATCTACAGGTACTGTTTGGATCCATGTTAGTCTTTTGCATGTGCATGACATCGTTTGCCATAACTGCCATGTCCAGGTTCGTGCTTGCCTCAGTTTTTCGATTGTTGATTTCGCAGAATAGGACAATCAGAACGAGCTTTTTCAGTGTGTCTGACGATCTCCCTGAGCCTTTGAGTTCCTGGCCGAGGTGCTGCAGCTGATGGTGATGGTGATGTGCTCGAAGAAGTGCTCGAGGTGACGTGATCTATCCTTTTAAGGTGTTACATCGTTTTACATTGTTGCGTGCGCTGAGGGCAACCTGGAGATTAGGAAAGAGATCAACGAGTTGATTAAGGCTCTCAATAGATTTTGGGCACGAGTCGCTGGATTTCAAGCTTTGCAGTTGCGAGCATCTACACAGGGGATCCCGACACCGGACACCCATGCAGACTCTGTTTTCGCCATTCACCAGACACGTGGCCTGTGCCTGCTCATATTGGCCTTTGCTGCCTGTTGCTCTGTGTCCTATATCCTTGTAGTTTGTGAGTTTTTCAGTGTGCCTTTTTTTCTAGCTAATTGCACTCTCACTCTAGACGGCCATGGTGTTTTGTGTCTTTTACTTTGCGCGCTCTATTTACAGTGCTTTTGCTGTTTCCTTTAGGTCCACTGAATAAGACCATTAGCACTATTTACACTCGTTCTATTTTATTATACAATTTGTTAAATTTCTATAAATTTCTATTTTATGTGGTTTTTGAGCGGCCCACATTTTCACAGGTTTTTTTTGCAATCTTTCTTATTTCTTTTCAATGGTGGTGTCAACTCATAGTTAGTCTCAGACTTTCTTCGGGGGGCAATTTGCAACATCATCATGTAAACAATTGATGTATAAAACAACATGTTGTCTGGCAGGTTTGGCTTGATCACAGTTTTGTTGAATCACTCTGCAAACACGTGTAAAGCTTCGCAAACCAGCGATGCCCCGAGGGTCGTTGTCGCTGTCCCTGTTGTTGGGCATTGGTCTTCTTGCCTTGCCAAAACACGTGGTATTTATGATTCTTTTTGCCGAGAGGTGAAAAGTCGCGACCCCCAGGCAGGCACAGGTGTTAAGGTCGATACATGGCTTTCAAGAGGCTAGTTAAGAAGAGTTGGTGGTGCGAGCTTGCAGCCCAGGATGCCACGCATTATTTGCATTTCGTTGCTTTTGCTTTCCATGTCCCTCTCGCCCTGCAGCAACAACCAGAATACAACGACAACCACCACAACAACCACCAACAACCTGCAGCAACAACCAGTCCAAGATGACCAACATAGGCTGACTTCGCAACAACAGCAACAGCAGCAGACAACCGCCGCAACACCAACAACAACCACCAAACGCTACTAGGAACAAAGGGCATCGCTACTAGGAGCAAGAAAGCCACTAGGGGCTCCTGGCCTTACTGCTAGTGACAAGAAGCTATTAGCAAGAAATAAACTAACTAAAAGTAGATTAACAACCACCACCATCACACCCACGACAATAACTACCAAGACCACCCACCATTATCCTCACGGCCACCACACCTACCACACCTATCCTCACCCCCACAACCACCGCAACCACCGCCACAACCATCGCCCAAATACCCCTCCACCCCAAGCTTTCCTTGTCCGCCTCATGGGTGTGCGCTTGGGAGGCTTCGGGCGTTAAAAGCCTTCAAATCTTCGCCGGAGGCCGTTCGGTCAATCGATCAATGCCCCCTGCTGTGGACCCACTTCAGGGATTGTGTTTTGCGGTGTGTTTGCCTTACAATTTTTTGACGTGTTTTAATGTTGTTGGGCTTCAAATCGTTTTCACAGACCCGTGGTGCAACTTATGCTTCCAGAGTGCCCTTGCATTATCAGCATTCCGTTCTTTTGCTTCCTCTCCTCCTCTTCCTCTTCCTCTTCATGTTCATCTTTTGCCTGCTCTTCCTCTTTCTCTTTCTCTTGCTTCTTCTCTTTCTTTTGCTCTTTCTCTTGCTTTTTCTCTTTCTCTTGCTCTTTCTCTTTCTCTTCCAAGAGAGACAAGGCTAGGAGACAGCGAGAGACCGAGCCAATGAAAGAGTCACAGAGAGAGAGAGAGAGAGAGAGAGAGTGAGACAGAGACAGAGACAGAGACAGAGACAGAGAAAGAGAGAGAGAGAGAGAGGCAGAGACACACAGAGAGCGAGCGAAACAGAGAGAGGGGAAGGAACACAAACAACCTCTCGACCCTACAGAAAAAGGAGAGTGGCAGCGAAGTGCTAAGTAGCTGCTTGCTGCAAGTATATCAGTTAGCGTGCCGATTGACGTCTCACACATATTGCGCCACTCCTTTCGCACATAGTGGCGTTGTGGTCAACATGGCGTTTCAATCCTGTAAGGTCCTCTGCGAATGTCCCTTCGCCAGGACAATTTCACACATATTCTGAGCAGGTTCGTGCCCGAAAGCACAGTAGTAGGCGATGACGCACGATAAACGGTGATTATGATACTGCAGCGACGGCTACGATGGTAGTGTTGGTGATAGTAATGACTTAGTAATGGTTCTTTACGGAGAACCCTTCGCAGGTGCAGTTGGGAAAACAGCGTCAGCGCAAGGACATTCGCGTAAGTATGTAGTTTGACAGTCCGCGTGCGACGGCCCATTTGTTTGAACTGTTCTTGTTCGAGAAAATGTTTGTGGTGCGCCTGCAGAAGCCTGCAAGGGTGTTTCTGGCACACATTTTGAAGTGGAAAAGGTATTTGTGACACATAATTGAAAGCCTGAAGAGGTTTGTGGTACACCTTTGGAAGCCTCAAAAGGTGTTTGCGGCGCACTTTTCAAAAATTCAAAACCTTTGGACATGTTTCTGGTACACTTCTCAAAACGGAAAGAACACCCACCCACCCTTGCAAAAGGGTGGCGGCGCGGGGTTTTGGCTCCCAAGACCGCTGCCAAAGGTGGTTTCAATCATAATAAAAACGCACCCCTCAACTGCCTCCGAAGTCCTCTATGAGCTTCCGAAAAACCCCGTGCCGCCACTCCTTTCGTTCTATTCTTCTTCAAACATTATCGAAATTAGCGCTGTCCTGGTGCGAAAGGTCGGTTTTTGATTCTGATTCCCCATAGAATCTCTTGAGGTCCGTTGTCTGTGCCCCAAGCAACATTTGCATAAACCTAATGCAATAGCGACACCAACAACTCGGGAATCAGATGCAGGTTCCCAGCGTGTGTTAAAAGCGTGCAATGACGTACGCGCACGCGCTGAGCAGAAGGTGAGAGATTCGCGGTGTGCACTAACTCTTTATGATACTGCAGTAGACGACCTGGCAAAGTACCTGAAGAAACGGTCCTGAGCAAACTGCAAGGTGCAAAAGTCCTCAACAATGTTGTTTAAATCACTCGAAGCCGCAGGTCAGCAGTGTCTTTGTTAGGCAGTGACTGCTTTCCTTCTGTACAGGAGTGTCAAAAAGGAGAAATCATAGAAAGGTAGTTTCTCTAGAGACGGGAGCTGGCAAACACACACACACACACTTATAGAAATGCATACTGACTCGAATGCCACATGCCACACGCCCACCTAGGTTTGAGGGTTCAGGTTAGGAGGTAACTGAAGAGCCTGAGAGGGTTCCCGCTGCTGTCCGTGACAGCGTGCAGCTCGTCTTGGTAGCTGGACAAGTTGTGAACCAAGCCATCAATCAGTTGATGCTGCTTTTCAGGAGTCAGATGAAGTGCAGGATTCCCAGAGACGTCCATGTCGGTGAAGCGTTGGATCATACTCTGGATCAAAAGATCTACGCGTTCATGCTCCAGATTGTCGACAGCCTGGCGTTTGACGCCACGGGGATGAGCGTCTGGAGGAGGTCGTTGCTGTTGGGCAAGAAGTCGTTGTTCCTCTTTGTACAGGGCCTGCTCCCATCGTTCACAAGCAGCCCAGACGGGAAGACTGGGGGTAGCCCCCAAGACCAGCTGCCAACCACGGGTGGGCCACACGCGATAGTGATAGTCCGACCAACTCGAGTAGGGGTGTTGGTCAGTAAAGAAGGAGTTGGTGTGCTTATAGTAGTCCACGTCCGTGTGATCCCAGGCGATCGTCTTTTCGTGGAACCATGCGCGATAGAACCAATGTTTGACCTTGCCAAAGCCACGACAGGTCCATTCTTCACGGGGAGGTGGAGAAGAAACGTCCATGGTTGCGAGCGTGGAAGCGGTCAACGTAGTCCATGTTGTATTGGTTCTCAACCCGAGGAAGACTGGGAAGAGCTGTGGGATCGAATGGAGGTGAGTCCACAGGGTCAAGATCGACGAGTACACCGTCAGGGCCAACAGGTAGCAAGAGTTTATTGCGTAGCTGGGCTTCTTGATCACTCAAGATTGGTACATCACCAAGTGGAGTCTGGTCCAATGGCGATGGGTTTCCATGGCCTCGGCCATGTCATTGGCATCGGTGCTGGCAGTGGCTTCCATGGAAGTTTGACATTAACTCGAGGCAGGGGAGCCAAAGCGGGCGGGCAACGCGCAAGACGTAGAGGTCCAAATGGCTGCAGGAAATTGAGAGGGTCAAACGAGGTGGGCAAACAAAAAGGCAAAGATGGGTAAGGGAAGCGAAAGCGTACACGTTCACCTGTGGGTTTGATCAGGTACCCGAACAGTCCCGGAGCCAGTGTCGTACCAGTTGTAGTAGATGATGAGGAAGGTGGAGCCGAGAGTAGTGGGACAAATTCAGTCCCGAAGGGCCTGTGAACGCAAGGTGGATGGAGGTTCTGTAGGTCGAGCTTTCTGGGAAAAGGTAGTAGACACAATCTCAGGTTCATCATGGTCGCGTAGGTGGGGCGCGATAGATGGGCGCGGTCTATGTGTCGAGGTGGCCGTCGGTGTAGTTGATGCCGTCGGAGTGGTCGAAGAGGGCC